ATCACCACCGATTGACGACGTATTTGATATTTTCGAAGGCAATGCCGTTCTGTCATCTTGATCTCAGCGGTCTGCCACGAGATGTGGTACACCAGATGAAGTAGCTGATCGATTTTACCAACGTAATTTCCACCGCGCCACACTAAATTTGATCGCAACACGTCGCTGTTGTGAGTCGAAGGGGAAGACGGATAAACCACCATACACACAATCTTATTCATTGAATTATATCTTTCAAGCTGACGCTATACTTTTATTGCAAAAAGCAACCGCAGCTATGTCAAGGATATCGATTGGGTCAAAGTGGACCCAATGATAGCAAATGTTAAATATTTTGTTAAACAACTATGCAACCGTATAATACGCAACGATTCGCTTTTGGAAATATCGTTTATTTGCAAAAGTTATTTACTTTTATCTCGCTAGCTTTCAATGAAATTTTACCGTAGACTGCTGTGAAATCGTTTCAATTTCTGTTTGTAAATATTAATCGTCTATTTGTAAACATTATTAATTGACTATTTATATACATCAAAAATAAAGTATTTGAAAAGGAATATTCTTATATTATTATAATTCTCACTGAATTTCACTTTATCAATGCCTCAACTTGTGTTAAAGTTGCCGCGACGATTTATGTTTTAATTGAAATTCTCTTGCTCAAGTTTACTAATCGACAGTATTATCTTCATTGCGTGCCTCCGTTACTTAATTAATCCGATTAGGCACGCGTGATTGGCGCGTTTCTCGTTAGCTACTGTCGCTGTCTCGAAAAATTGTTTGAGTACCACTGTATGAGAATATTCTTACGTGCCGCACTCAAGTTTTACACGAGACTGTAGGCATAAAAACTGCCACGAGCGATTTCTTCGCAATATTTGACGGTGCGCGTGAAACCTGTAAGTCGTTGTGTATATCAATAATGTAACACGCCGTCTTATAGTAATTAAGCTTAATCGTTACACGTTTCGCATCGTCAGACTTGTTTTCACGGACAATTCTGATGTTTACACCAACTTCATTCCAGAAAATAATTCGCTCGAAATGATATTCTATAGAGAAAAAAATTGTGAATTCTTGAATAATTAATAGCTAATAATGTACGGAGATATATTTTATATATGCTTCTGTATACGTTCTATTACACCTTTTATAATACACAATTGTTTCCTACACTGAAAAAAATAATGTTATATCAACAGCATTATTTTAATTAAAAATAATCTTGTTAATTCATGACATGTATTAATGAAACGAATAAAATGTTATTAAAACACAAGCATAATGTATTTGTTTTACTAATAGTGTTATTGGATTAAAATTATTTTTAATTAAAATAATACTGTTGGTATAACATTATTCTTTTTTCAGTATATTTACTCCGCTGGAAAAAAAAATGTTTATGTCGCGCGAATAAAAGCTAATCGGTCGCATCTGACACGTAGGTAGTACATTTGGCTTTCAATTTCTATTGAATATAAGCTTTAAACAAACTCTCGATTAATTATGCTTCGATACTTAGAAATGTGACTTATGCAAATCGATTTCTGACACACGTGTGTAAATATTAATTAGGTAGATTAATTAAGTAGTTGTATGCAATCGTTCCACGAACCATCCACATGAGTTAATTTTCTCATGAGAATGTGAAAACTATTTATGTGAATTTATTACAGTTCTCAGCTGATAAATAAAGATATAATTGAAAAAAAATCTTATCAAATCATGAAAAAGACGATTACAGAGATTAACACAATCTCTATCAATAAAAACCTTCATAACGCTTCTCTATTTATCCATGTAATTATTCAGGTCATTAATTGCGACTGGCATTTGATTAAATTGTGTTAATCGTGCACATATTCGTGCGACATAAAGAAACTAATTGGGATGTCAATAGCCGCTGCGCTACCTTTGCGATCAAACAGCTTTGCTAGATTTTGCAATAAATTTGTGTATGCGTATATATCGCGTTTAATCGAATAAAATACATTCGCTGCTTCGCTGACGGGTCGAATTAGCTCGCAGCGTGGTTTTCATAAAGCTCCAAAAGCCCGTCGCTTTGTCGGAATTCAACGGAACGCGCGCCGATTTAAAGCGCAACTCCGCTCGTCCGCATAAAACTAAAAACGGTTTCTGTCGGATTTTTACATTGTAAAAATGTACATGTCATTGGTGCGAATTTCGCAAATGTAAAATATGCGAATAAACGAATGTATCTCTTTTTTTAATGTATTTCTTTTTCTGGAAAAATTCCCATTAGCCGAAAGCGAAAAATCGTCGCGCATGTTACTGATTTCGAGGAATAATAAATATCGATCGTAAGTAAATGAAGACACGTGCCGCGCAAGAATCCGTCAATGAAACACAAAATGAATCGAACTGGTTTCTTCACACGATAATCTCTCGCATATTAAATTCTTGACTTACTATAAATAGCTCTTTTTCACGATTTTTCGTATAATACGGAATAAATTGAAACCCGAAGCTGAATAGGAAATTCGTTATCGTTTTTCCAAAAGTAAATACTGTGCTCATGTAATGAGAATGCAAATGTGATTTTCGATTTTTTTCAGATTTTGATACATGCATGATTTAAGTATCATTCCTCGTAAAATTTATATTATTAAATTACATTAATCTTAATCGACTGTTTTGCGTCTGTTTATTTTCACACAAAAAGATATTGTCATTTAAGAATTTTTTTAGCCTATATTTCTAGTTTTTTGTATATTAATATTTTGGTACATTAATAATTGGTTTGATATATTAATATTTTTCTTTTCAATAATAAGTTATTTATTCTCAGTTACTTTTATTAATTTCTGATATTAATATATTTATTCCTTTTATTATTTTATTAATATATCTTTAACAGATTGCTTCAAAAGTTTTTTCTCTCTCTTACGATTAACGTTTCATATTTGTGTTTCATTTATCCAAACACCCTTGAACTCTTCTATTGTTTCGCAAATTGACATATATTCTTTACATTACCATCTATAAATTATGAATTCATACAGACTGGGGGGGAAAAAAATGAATGGTCGAAACGTCCTCGATGAGAAGGAAAAAATAGCTATCCGGTTATTTTAGGCATATTTTCAGACCTGTCGTCTCGTCTGTTTTGTTAACTATTTTGTTTAGAAAGAGAGATGTACATAAGACTTTCTTATTGATTTTGAGATTTGTAAAATCTCTAAGGAATACCCTTCCGTGATATCCGTTTCAAGAGATTCTTTGGAGAATCAATCCTATAACAGAATTTAGCCACTACATGTGTGATATATTATTAATTGGCCTAGCCTTTTTGTCAACTTCAATTATTATGAAAATTAGAATGAATAAGACAGTATAAGTTACACTAAAAAAAGTAACGTTATATCAATAGCATTACATTTTAATTGAAAATAACATTTTTATTAATTCAATAACACTATTAATAAAACAAATACTTCATGTTCCTCTGGTTTAATAAAATTTTACTTGTTTCTCTCTCTCTCTCTCTCTCTCTCTTTCATTAATACCGTTATATATAAATCAACAAGATTATTTTCATTGAAAACAATGCTGTTAATTTTTTTCAGTGTAGAATGAAACAGCACATGTAAAAAAGAAACAGTATATATACTCTTCTCTCTCACTTTTGTTTTAGCAAAACTGCTCGTGGCCAGACTCAGTTATGGGGTCTCTAGTTTCAACGATCCTGGAGAATCTGGACTCATGTCGTGCAGGTCACAAAATATGTAAACCATGACACGCCGAAGCTGCGACGAGGATCTCTCCGAGGAGCAAAGAATGACGGACGCGTCGTCCGTTCGCAGTGACGTTTAGCCGCGCTCTGTGAGAACACGAGATGCAACGAACGGTAGAAAAATGCGTCCGCCTCGCCGTTAGGCTCTGTGTCGAATGCGTGACGTGAGCGTGTATGCGTGAGTCGCACGCACACGCGCGGAATCAGCGAGTAGAGAAGAGAAGTAGCGCTTGAAAACAGAGAAGAGAAGCGCGACGAGGCCTTCCTCTCGCGCAGGTATATAGGTATAAGTATAGGTATAGGTATAGATAGCTAACCGCGTACAACAGCCAACCAATTTCTCGCATGCGCTTCGTCGCGATTCCACGTCTTCGTGGAAATGATCGTGGCCACCGAAAAACGAATATATACTCGCGTATAACGTTTCGCGCGATCTCGTCTTCGGAGAAGCGAACTTTGTAAAATCGCCTGACACAGTTTTCATTCGACGGTGGCCGGCGCAACGCGACGCGACGCGAGACACCGCACGTTGTTGCCTCCCTCACGACACAAGTCGTTGAGGCGAAAGGAATGTTACGCGAGAGAAAGAGAGAAAAAGAGGGAGGGAGGGGAGAGAGAGAGAGAGAGATATCTCCGCTATCCGTTCTCGCGCCGCCACCGCTGCCGTTTCCTCCTCCTTCTTCATGCGCGCTTGCGAAAAAGAATCCGGGAGGCGGGAACGTCGGCGGAGTGATTTTCTCAGCGGAATTTTCGCGGCTCGAAGACACCCGCGACCGATACCAAGAATCGAGTGTCTCTCGCTTGGAAGATATACGAGATGCGATATCACTCGAGAACGAGAAAGAAAGCGAGGGAAAGATAAAGATGGAAAGAGAGACTACGGGACACACGGCGTGCCTTGCTTGCTTGTGTTCTCTCGCCCTCTCTCCGCTCTCCTCTCGCGGTCACTTCTCTCCCTCCTTGCACCTCCCACTCGTTACTCTCTCGCTCTTTCTCTTTCTATCTCTTTCTCTTTCTCTCTCGCTCGCTCGCATGCACGCACATCGACTCTCTTTTTTTCCCCGTCTCGTCCAACGTACCGTAAGACTTCGGGGTCTGACGTGAATCAGGCGTGACATTGGCTCGACACAACAAAACTTCAAATCTCACTAATGTACACATATACACATACATACGTACCCAACAGCAACATAAGCGACAGGAACGACGATGACGACGTCGATGGTTGACATTGACGTCGGCGACGATGAACGACGAGTGCAAGACACTCGGCGACGTCGCCACGAATATAGGTTAATGTTCGGGGCGCGACGATGGTCGTCGCGCTCTTTCTTTCTTTCTTTTTTTCTCTCTCTCGCTCTCATTACTCATTCGCTCACTCGTTCATTCGGTTCCTCGCTCGCTCGTATTCGCGTCGTGACGTTACGAGGCCGTGGGATGCCGCCGGCGACGGGGACGGGGACGGGGACGGGGGCGGGGAGGGGGGGGGGGGAGGGGGGGAGGCACGG